GATTCTGCTTCATAAAAAAGTTTCCTTGAAGAACAAAAGCAGATGTCTACAACACCTGGGATTCCCAGGCCGTCTCCGATCCAAGTACTAACCAGGCCCAACGTTGCTTAACTTGACAGATCGGACNAGATGTCGTGCTTTCAACGTGGTATGGCCGTAGACATACGAAAGCAATAACGAATACGCCAAATTTCCTCGTCTTACATTTCCTTGCCGAAACAATTTGTTATCCCACTAAGTAGCAGGACGTTCCAAAATTTGACTTCAAGCCACAGTAGAAGAATCTCTGTGCCAAAACTTTCAATTACCTCAAAGTTAGGTAATTAAACCGTGGAAGTCGATTCAGGCACGTTAATACATTTGTGCCGCACACGATAATTGTTGGATTCTTGCTATCCACGAAACATCTGTAATGCAGCGCTGCCCTCACAGACTGTCCTTACATACACGTGACCGAACGTGACTGACTTCTGCCCATCATCATCTTCACCCTACCTCCTTGAATTGAATTTGTTGTCCCACTAAATAGTAGGACGTTCCAAAATTTTACTTCAAGCCACAGCAGCCGAAACTCTGGGTGCGAAACATTCAATTATCTCAAACTTGGGTTTAGACACTCAGGAATAGTTGGATCCTGCGTCAATAAATGTTTTGTTAAAGAACAAAAGGATATGTCTACAACACCGGGCATTCTCAGGCCTTCTCCTCCGTGTAGTCGTAATAAGAAAATTTTTAGTACATGAGACTTTTAGAATTCAGTGTGTCAGTAGCGAGGTATGTGTTATATCGGATTATCTTCAATGAAGAAATGTCAGTGTGCTGATGTCGATGGTATTCATTTAAATTTTTTATTTATAAATTTCTGAAAAAAGGAAAAAAAAAACTAATACGAAATTTCAACAACATTTTTGTTTTACATAAGTTTAACAAGTAGTAAACCAGTCATTGAGCCACACAATGTTGAGATTACTCCCATGAATCCAAATATGCTTCCGGCTAATTCACGTAGCTGAGCACGTACCTTGCTGAAAAATTGAAGGAAAAAATGACACTGTTTTGAATAAGAAAGCATTTTAATAGCTGCTATAGAAAAGCAATAGTGGATTAGTACCTTAAACCAATTATTTAATACAGCAAAGATTTCAATAGTAATGCAATATAAACTTCCAACTAGAGTACTACAGCTAATCTAAGGCACAGTTATGTATCGGTTTAATAAAGAGGATTAACGATGATAAGAGTTCAAGCCTTCCCTTCCCTCAATCGTTCATAAGTCTAACTATGGTTGCAATCAAGCTCAAATTCGCTACCCAATAATTTTTTTCATATTGAGTAAAGCTCTTGATACGGTCTTTTCGATAACTCATCCATATTACGATAAAATCTTTCGTTAGATTCTACTAGAAAAAGCAATCGTATAAGCAGAAAGGAATCCGGATGAATGGACTTCAAATATGATAAAATTTTATTTCAAGTTTAATTTACATCCAAGTCTTTGAACACATCACAAACATGCTGATCTGTATATGGACATGTTGATCTGTATATACAAGTGTGTGCATGCACAGATCAGCAACTTTGTGATCAGAGTTTTTTTATGTGAAATATATATGTATATATAGTATGGATTTTTTCATGTGCACAAAAACGTAGGTAGAATAAAATATAAAGCAAAACCGAGCTGAATTTCGCTTATCAAAAGAAAAGAAATTTACCTTGTCGCACTAATAGTTGCTGTTGTAAACAGGAAACCATTTGAAATTGAAAACAATATCATTGTTGAAATAAAAATATCATCACTGCGAAATAGTGTGACAGAATGATAACGTGGACTAATATTGCAGAAAAAAAACACTGGAATAGCTAGAAGCCGAAGAAACGAGAGCATTATTAAAGTTTTCTTATTCTGAAATTAACAATTGCATTGTTTACAAAAAAAGCAAGATTACCGGCATGAAAAATCTATTTTTTCTATTTTCCATAACTTAAAGTTAGATTATCGTGGTGTTTCATACGATAGTGTAACTTTATGTTATAGAAAATAGAGTTGTATGAAAATCATAATTATTCTGGACCGAAACAGATGTTATAAAATCATATTTAATCATTTTTGAACACATTGCAGCTGATGTTCGCCAGATCAACCGATGTGGTTCAGTTGAAATTAGCCCGCATCACTTCGGAACGATTATAAATGAAATCAGCTAGTAACAAATATAGTCTTGCTTGCTTAAAGCTTCGAAAACATATTTTGGAATTCTTCATGCTAAATCATTTCAAGTCTTAAATTGGTCACATATTTTAGAAGGCTTAATACTTAATCCTTCATAATAAAAATCGTTAATAGCATTGCTGTTAGGAAACACGCAAATTTGAAGTCCTAAATCCTCTATTCTTTCGCTAAGCTAAGCATTCAACCGCAAATTACGCTGATGAGTTTAAGAAACAATTTGTCGATGTCAGTATAACTATGTACAATATATATTCGAGTCTAAGTTTGGAAATAACATGTCGACTGACTGATTAATTTTATTGATAAAGATTTAAGGATAACTTATCAACATATCAAATCTACCTCAATCCTTTGTATCAACGTATTTTTTGTACGAAGAATACCAGAATT